TGGCAGAAAAAGACAGAGAATATAAAAAGGGCACAAATATGACAAAGGAAATCAGAAAAAAAAAAAAAGAAAAATGCATCATAAATACAGAAATAGAAAAAGCTGCGAATACTACGAAGATACACGCATCGCTACGATGAGATGCGAAGTTAGCAGCAGAAAGATACTTTAACAAGCTTCAAGCCAAATAAAAAAGACGGTCCACTTGATATTAAGGAATTAAAAAGTTAAGAAATATTTCCGAAAATAAAAAGCATAAGAAAAGGGGTGAAAATAATCATAATTTTTTATAGAAATTCTTAATCTTTCACTTCTTCAGAAAAAGAGCACATCAGTAAGGTGAATTCATCCCAAGTTTTGTGTTGAAACTTAGTTTCCTCCTTCGCTGATCTCGGTGATAAAGTTTGATGAAATAGAGTTTACACAGCTCGCTGGTAATAAGGATGAAAAATATCCATAAAAACGAAACCGTTGTTAGCAAGAAGTTGCAGCCAGTAACAAAATCAAGTAATGAGCCAGTCGAAAGCTTTGTATATATAATCTAAACAAATGATAAACTGTAAAATCTTATTTCATTGCTGACTTTTTCCTCGCACGAAGTCTGTAAAAGTTCTGCCCTACTTTTAGGCAAAAACGACAAAAAAAGAATGAATTCTCAATGGATCTATCTGTTCTAGTTAAATGACGATTTATTCATTAATACTGTTAATATACCTGTACAAAAATGACAAAGAACACGGCAGTCATCCAGCAGGAGTTTCGAAATGGAAGTTTTGTCCAGCAGTTGTGTCGGAAATAGACAAAACTCGTCGACAAAACACAGAGATAAACAAGCAGCTGAAAATGGTAAACCAGTGATAAGCAAATCAAATACTGCTAGTTTTGTACGGGAGTCATGCAATTTTCAAGATCTCGCTTGAATGTGGAACTGACAAAACAAATTTGCAAAAACCAAAAAAAAAAACGGATACTAAACAAATGACATACGTAAAATGCGGAAACATGCTGGCCAGCAGTAACTCTGTGCCTGAATGAGCCATATCGCTGTTCGCTAGTTTGCTTGCCCACTTTTACCTGAAAAGGAAGTCGGAGTCACTCTGGGCAGAATGCTGGATTCACTACGCTTCCAGCAGCTCCTCACATATCCAAACAATGCTCCTCATCAATGTCATGCTACGTCCGTACTATTACCTTGAATGAGGTACTGCTTTTTGCTAGCATTTTGCGGCCCTGCTTTTTCTATGCGCGTGATTCACTTGTTCCGCCAAAAAACTTAACTATTTCTTATGGGCACAATAATATCCTGCACGCTAAATATACGATAGCATATGAGGTAATAAAGCAATGCTCAATGTAAATTTGGCTCTAATCTCCCTTCTCTACGCCACCAACATTTGCTTGGCAGTGAGCACGTTCTCCGCTCTCCATATTTATCACCGATTACTAATTTATAAAATTTTAAAAGCGACAAAAATACTAGAGAGTAATAGAGATATTTGACAGAATTGTCAATTTTGCAGCAAATTAACGCGACACAATTAAACTGTTCAGAAGAACTTACAATGCTGCAATAAATGAAAGAGACGAAAAGCAGAGAAGGAAGAAAATTTATTGAAAAATAGATGACAGCACGGCGAATGAGTCGTTTCGGAGCTGATGGCACATTTTTTGGAGCTATTTCGTCGCGATTATCACCCTGCTTGTGTGTGGAGGTCATCAGCGATAAGGCAATAACAGGAACATAAACCACCGTGAATAGAAATGTCTGAAGTACAGCACTCTTTTAAAATTCTCATAAGCATAATACCTATTCGAACAGTTAACAGCAATTCAGGAGTTAAATTGGGATGCACATTTTCCATATTGTTTTAAAATTATTCTCTTAAGCGAAGTATATGTACTTTTGCAAATCGAATATTATTCTGTGTTTAAAAAATAGATATAATATTCCACAAGGTTGGCTGCACTGACGATTCTCACCCCAATCCACACCGCATACTGTCTGTGTTTGCACCTTAGGGATGAAACACAGAAAGCCAAGTTCACATTTAGCTTCCCTACAGGTCCTCCTCACATCTTCTCAACTTTCTATAAAAAACATGCGTTTCACTATCTATTTCATTTCCTCATTTCGTGGTCTTACGACCATTCATTCTCCCACCTCTATTATTTACCTATTTCCAATCTGATATTAAAAAGATATTTGTTTCTTGTCGACAAAAGATGAATGCTGATGAAATGCAATTTATTCTAGGAATTTTTGCCCTAAGAAGCAGATACTACATATGGCATAATTTAAACTAAAATCTTATTGCTATACACTTACCTCAGTAGTATCGGTAGACGCATAAACTTCGAGAAAACCAAAACATCTACATCTGGTAAGGGACGTCGAATGGGAAAATTCGAATAACTAAGATCATTTTAAGTGATGTTTCTGTGCCTTTTTTCATTTCATTAAGAAAAATCAACCTTCTTCTAGATGAAAAAATGATCATTCCAGATCATTTCATTAAAATTTCATGTCACTGCATCCAAAAACTGCAAATGCTACGTGTGCTTGCCCAGATTTATCTTGCAGAAATATTAGCACGAACATTAACTAAGATTGTATTTCCAAATCATGGGGACTGTTGCAAAAGGAAGAAAGAGCGAGTAGCAAGGAAACGAAGATGGAGGCTTGTCCCGTCTTTTGCCTCGAGTTTTCCCCTCCGTAATATTTAATGTGATGATTGGAAATGAAATTACTGTAATTGTTTTCGTGAAATCTGAAGATACGCGGCGGCAGCTTGGAGCTGCTGCCGCTTGAAACTGCTGCGTATGTCTGGTAGCAGCTTATTAGTAACCCCGTCGCAGTGTTTTTCGAACCACAACTTTTCGACTATTTCACTTCTTTTAAAAGTAACTTCCAATCTAGCTGATTAAATTTTCCAAAAAAATTATTTAACACAAGTTAACTCGTTTGGACAATAATTTGCTTCAACGAATTATTAACAGTAGAACAAAAAGTCAACTGTGTGTTCATGGGAGTAGTAGCACAACTACTGGAAATCGGACCTTAATAAGCGAATTGCTTAAACCGATTTATGCAAAATTAGCCATTTCGTACAGTTTGCACTGAATGCCCTTTGAAATTGTCGCATACTTCTTTATGTTGATTTGTATTCTTTGTATTACGTCAGTTCTGTTTCATGTACATTTGTTTTTTTGTGTCGCATTTTTCCTCTAGTTTATGTTGGTATTAACGGCGTGTAAGGGTTTTATGGCCTGCGGCAAGAAATAAATTATTATATTACACTAAATTAACGATCTATTTCCGATAAAAGATAAATTTCTGGACGCAACATGCATATCTTGGAATAATATCAAAAACACCTGAGGCAAAGAGAATATATTCGGTCGGAGAAAAAAAAGCGAGAAAATTTGCTGCAGTGAAAGGGCGATTGATGAAAATAGGAAAAATAACAAGGATGAACGAAACGTCCGTAACTGATGGCGGCACAATGAGATAGTCGAAATGAGATCCACTTTCTGTAAAAACATCATCCTCAATACAAAGTGAAATTTGTTGGAGTCAGTTTAGCACGTTCTCATCCTGGGTCTTTTTCTTGGCATATCAAACATGTAAAAAGCTATCGTTAAGCTATTACAATAAAAGAAAAATAGGAGGAAGAAATAAAATGAGGAAAAGAGAGGCAAATGGGAGACTAATAAACCCAATTTACACTGATATTCATTCATATCTGAAAAACAGGCATTTGCCATTCTAATTTCACATCAGAACAACAATGCATTTGCTATTTTATTTTCTTTGAATGTACTTATTCTGAAGATCTGATGCTTATTTTCTATACGAGGCATAAGCAAGTGGCTAAATTGGGAGGTGATATTCTTTTTCGAAAACAAATTAAAAAGGTTTGCGAAATCTGATAAATCAAAACCCTTTTCTGTTTTTCGGATCTTGGCGGTTCTGTGACGTTTACTCTTCTGTTAGAGAACAAAGTGCTCTTCAGCACTGGAAATTTTAAGTTTAAGTAGTTAGAACGCTCGAAAATGATAATTTTTGAGTACATCCAGTTTTCAGTCCAATATCTACAAAGTTTATCAGATAAACTATTTCCATTTCTCTATTCTTATTCGTGTTTTAAAATTGAAATCTGCCGGTGCAGTACCTGATTTCGAAAGATAACAACGTCACAACAAAGCCCCATCAAAAGAGTAGCAATCGCTGATATATTTTTCAAGCCACTGTTTTTCTGTGGATTTTCTTTACTGCATACAGCAGGATGCAGAGGTTCAATGCAAACTGAGCTGTTCCCCTTCAAAAACA